TTAGACAATTGTTTGTTCGTGCTTATGTTGCAAGACTCGGAGACCAAGAATAGATCCGTAAGTGGGATAGTTCATAAGTAGTGTGTAGTTTCCGTATTCATTCTGAAGCATGTTATTTCTAACGGGTTCGTTCGCAGGCAATCCGAAGTTTGGATCGTCATCAACGATACTGAGATTAAGTGAGAGAGAGAGTCACAATCCATGGACCAATTGTGTCTCTGGGAAAGTTATCAAGGATGATGACTAGTTTAAGTGGAGGAGAATTTCACAACAATACTACGAAAAGAGTAGGTTTTGACCCTCATATAATGATAGACGAAGCAGTGACCCTCAAATGGTGCCCATCCAGTCACAAGAGTGCCAAGAGATGAGTGCCGTGAGTCGACCGAGGAGGATGGTGCATCATCTAACACACTAAAGAGATCTTCCTTAAAGCCAAATTGAGGCATATGAAAAATAGAGGCAATGATGTGGACATGAGAAAAAAAGATAGGTTTGATAAATGGTCGGGTAGGGCCCTTGGAGGGTTCCAAAAGAAGTTTGGGCATGTGGGTCTAGAATGAAATCTTTCCATATGAAACATGAAAGGTCACCAAATTTGGGTGTAAATCGGACACTAGACATGCGGTCCATGAGACCATATGACTATTCGTCAAAATCATGCTTACTCCTACTCGACAAAAAAGGCCTGAAAATGCACTTTAGGGGAAGGTATGGTGTCAGCTCTCTACCACCCCTAACCATATGGCCTAAGCAAGCTACCATGTAGCATATACTTGTGTCACAGTGAGAGGGAGCGTTGCAAGACTAATGTCTTAAGTGACTTGCTTAAAAATACGTCTTTCAAGAACAGTGCTGGACAACATGAGTGTACCGACACTGCGTCCTCACCCATGTGTTGGAGGTTTGTATATGCACATGCTATTTGGTATGAAGTCAATAAATTATATGACATGGATATGGGAGGGTGCAATGCCTCAATCGAGCTTGGATGGATTGATATTTGAGTGGCCTAGACAATATGAGCGAAACATGGTTTCAGCATCGATTGACATGTTTGAGTAAGCTACGATGTCGATGGCATCATGGGACTTAGGATGACATCATGACATGAAGGTCATGCCAGGAACCAAGATGCAAAATCAAGATGCAACAACACATATGAATGACCTTTACTCTGAGTAGAGGCAAGGTTGTGTTGCATGGCTTGACCTAGTATAGAAGCAAGTTAGTTAAGGTCGCAGATGATTGAGCATGCACACATGGGCGACGTCTGTGTTCGACCAAGCTTAGATTCTGTACAAGTTGTGTTCAATATGCATGGGCAAACCTAAATACTTGTCATGAGTGTGTCGAGATCGTTATGTCGTACGATTAAAAATATAGGATTGTGACACGCTACNGTGAGGGATCAAATTGTAAATCTACTCTTTTAGATGGTTATGGTGTGTTCCTACAAAATTCAGATACTTGTAACGGTTTGATCCTCAGCCGTGGAAAGGATTGAGTTTGTTCTTGAATTCATAAAAAGAGCGGGGTGTAGCGGTTTGGCTTTGATTNTCGTTATGTCGTACGATTAAAAATATAGGATTGTGACACGCTACAACTATGAGGAGAACCCGAGACCGCATCCTGATCGTTTGCATTCAACTCGAATAATACCTGGAAACCATGTACATGATCCAACAACCCCGACCCGATTTGATCCCTACGTGCCAATGAGGACGCACCACCTTTCAAGAGTTCAATGCATGTTTTCTCTAGAGGCGCATATGTACTCGTGCATGCACGACCTTCTGTGCACGTGAGCAATGCATGAGTTTTTTTTTNATTGCTTATTATTATTTCTTGAACTATTTTATTGTATTAATTATCATCTTCTACTTGTTTTTTTTTTAAATCATAATAAAAAAAAATTAATCACTTAACTTTATTGTTAAAAGTCTATTTACCCCTCTAGGGTTGCCATACCGATCGAACAATTGGTATTAAAGCAGGTTGCTCTTATAGATTTTTTATGTAAACTTTATTGTTAGAGTTTATGGTAAACGTACGTGTTAATAATGTTTTTTGTGAAGGACAATAAACCTCTAGGCCTCCTTATTTTGATGGAACAAATNAATACTTGTCTGGATTGCAATCAATAATTTTCTCACGTAATACTTATCTGGATCGCAAGCATGCAAGCATATCTTACCTTAGGTAGTTAGAATATGCATGTTTAAGACCTTGGAATAACGTTTCTAAATGAAAATGCAAGTATGTTATATAAAATTGTCAAACTACCACTAGGATAAGAATTTATGATGCATGTCGATTTTAATATTTTTCGTTATGCTAGAATGGAGAATGGGTTATTTTGATCTACGCTTCGAGCCATTGATGGATTTTACCTCTCCGTTGAGCTTGTATGAGTGCATGATATAGTATGTTTAGCTCCATGAGATTGACTGTGTGTTCTTTTTATAAAGCATGCTTTTCTGCTCAGAGATAAGATTAGAGCGCTAGAGTTAGGTTGGCTCGACGATAACCTAGGTCAGGATGCCTCTAGTAGACTTAGCACCTTATGATTGTGAGCGGAGGTCAACAATAACTAAGAAAACTTGAGGAGTCAAGTACCCGAAAGTGAAAGTTGGCATGAAGCTACCTAGTCCTCTTAACAACCTAGTGGACCTCAACAATGCGCTGAGATGACCAAGGGGATGTTTAGAATATGTGTTCTATGTTGTAGGTAATCAATATGAATATCTCCCTAACAAGCATGCATGGGTGAACGAAATTAAGATTAGGGCACTACAACCAGAAATATTTACAAGTAAATCTCGGTTAGTATGTTTTCTGTAGGCTGTGCACCTCAAGATCATGAGCAACAATCAAAAGGTCTAGATCTGTGTGCCCTAAAAAAATTGGATTAGCTCCAAAAAGCTAACCCCGAAAAGTCCTAAAAAGATTAGGTGAGTTTTAAACTATCTAGATGCCCTTAAGAACCTAGTAGATTTCGAGGAGAAAGATGACTTAGAAAACTTAACATACCTAGTAGCAGTGTGACGGTACCACTAGAGTCTTAGCCTCATATCCCCTCTAGTACATCTTTAGTTCATAGCCTTCGTAGTGGTAGTGGTATAGCTACTATCAAGTTAGGTCTAAGTCGAACAGTGTAGCACGACGAGGCTATCAAAGTGCTACTATCATGTGTGGAAATGGCTTGGGATCTCCCAAGCAAGACCTTTGGTGCTATAATATGTGATAGGTAAATTTGTCATTTAGACATCCCATTCCTAATTAGAGTTCTTGATTAGCCGTAATAAGACGGCTAAGAATGAAGAAAAAGAAAAAAAAAAACAAGAAAAAAAAAAGAAAAGAAAAGGAAAAGGGAGAAAAAAGAAGATAGAGGATTTCGTGTTCTTGAGAAAGAGTCAGAGAGAATGTTGTAATCACCTCCCAACGGTTGTTTGGAATAGGAATTTTGTTGGATTTCCTTCACAAGAATTGCTCTAAGTCAGATTGAAAAACCATTCTTAACTTTTGATTTGTTCAAATCTGTTAAGAATCCAGAAATAATAGAAAGAAAGTGTTTCAAGTTCTTGATTTTAACTTTTCTTAAGACCGGAGAGCTTTTCTTAGAATAAGTTTCAAACTTTTAGTATGTTGTATTGGAGAGATGTCACACAAGTTTTATAAAGGAAGTCGTTGATTCAGATTGGAAGACGGTGTTCTGATGAACGTCAAGTAATGGTAAGTTTTTTAAGTTTTGAATTCTTGACAAAATTTATACTTGATTATTCTTGCTATGGGAGATGGGAAATTTAGAGAAAGATACATATATGTAGATGGGTTAAAAATCTACATATTTGGTAATGGAATCAAATTAATTCGAGGTCTCGGTAAGAAGTTACAAAATTAAGAAGTTATTACAAAGGNTGATGGAACAAATTATATAAAGCTAGAATGAAAATTTGTTTGCAATTGGTTGATTATCAGTTGTCAACTATTATTAAATGTCAGTAAACACCCTTACATCTCAATAAAAATTGTTTATAATATTGAGGAGCTTAAAATAGACATGAATTTGATGAGTGAAAAAGTGTTATTTTAATGTTAATGCTACAAATGTCTTTATTATGTCCTAAGTAAGAATGAATTTAGTAGAGTATCTTTGTGTTCTTCTATGAAACTTGAAAAACTCTTGAGGGAACAAATCAAATAAAAGAAAGAAAGATTAACATGTTAGTTTATAATTATGAACTATTTAAATTGGATGCAAATGAATCTATAGGTGATATCTTTACTAGATTTACTAATATTCTAAATGCTTTTAAAAATCTTGGAAAANAGGGCTTAAAATAGGACCTACTGGAGAAATTTAAAAAAATTTTGAATTTCTAACATGCAAAAAAAAAACCTCGGGCAAACATATATCATCCAAGTAGGTAACTACAAGAACTTTAGGCAAGTAATACTTTTAGGGATTGCTAGGACGTGCTAGCATAGGAGCATTACTTACGTTTGGTGGTTAGAAAATGCATGTNCCATCACATTGAAAGTTGACTCCGACGATGAGGAAGCCCCTGATGAAGATGATGTTGCCTACTTCACGTAAGTATAAAAAATTCATCAAAAGGAAGAAACAATTTAAGACACATTTCACCAACCAAAAAGAGTCAAAAGGTGAAAAGAGGAAAAAAATGATGAGATAATATGCTATGAATGAAAAAAGTAGGNGCATGACTAGAATATCAATTGAGCAATAAAGATGAGTATGTTATGCACGATGTAAGAAATTAAAAAACTGTCTCTACGATGATATGTTTTTTTTAATGTTGTTTTATATGTTTCTATTGTGTTAGAAAAGAGGATGGACTATTACAATCTATGTTCTGGGTGATCAATGGATGTTGTCCCCCCATTGAGTTTTTTTACTTGTATATATGTATTATACATTATGTCTTAACCCTAGGTGTTTAACTGTGTGTTTTCCTTGTAAAGCGTGTTTATCNAAGATGATGAGGTTTGTTTGAAAGCCTCCAATAAAAATAAGTGGTACTTTGATAGTGGTTGACACATAACGAGAAATCAATCCAAGTTTGTGAATTTTTCCAAGAAGGATGGTGGCTTAATAACCTTTGGTGATAACAAGAAGGGTAAAATAATTGGTGAGGGTACCGTAGCTAATGACACTTGTACTCTTATTGAAAATGTATTTTAAACTAATGGNGAATACTGTTGAATAAACATCATTTCTTTCCTGATAGATAGAGTATTTTTAGCTATTTAGTTGATCTACTCTCTATTTCTCTTAGTTATTCGTAACGCTATAAAAGCCAAGTTCAGTATTCAATAATATCATCAAACTCAAATGATTTATGTTTCAGGCTTAGTCATTCTTCGGTCAAAATTGGACTGAGAAAAATNTAAAAATAATTGCATAATTAAAAATTTTATTGATAGAAAAGTTTTGTTCGTTGGAAAAAGAGACGACAGTGTGTAAACTAATGATTTAAATTATTGTCCTATAAGATAAATGTCTTTCGGCTTTCCACAATAACTTTGGCTACGACATAGAAGATTAGGACAGGCTAGTATGTACTCAATTTCAAATATCTCAAAAAATTCATTAATAAGAAGACTTCCTCAATTTAAATTTGAAAAAGATAAAATTTGTGACAAACCTAAAATAGCTCTTCAACTATTACATATGGACTTATTGGACCCTCCTAAAATAGCTACATAAGGAGGGAATTACTATGCCTGTGATGGTTGATATATTTAGAGATTTATTTGGGTTTCGATAATAAAACATAAGAATGATGTTTTGATTTTTTTTTTCTAGTTTGTAAAAAGAGTTCAAAATGTTTTTTTTTAATTACTAAAATTAGGAGGGACCATCGAGTAGAATTTGATGCTTTAGCATTTGAAATATTTTGCAAAGATAATACTTTTTATTATGACTTCTCTTGTCTGAGGACTCATCAACAAAACGATCTGGTTGAAATGAACACTGGTACTTTACAAGAATTTGCTAGATCAATGTAATACTCTTTCTAATGAGTTTATTTAGAGTGATGATTTAGAAAGAAACTCTGGAGATTTACTTGTGAATGACAAAGGCAAAGAAAACTATTTCAAGCAGAGAAGAGGTGAGCTCAAATGAAAAGAAGGAAGAAATTTCTTCATCCATGCCAAAAGAATGGAGATATGCCTTATCTCATCCCAAGGACTTGATTATTGGTGTCTCGAACAAGTGAAAACTCATTCTTCTCTTAATTTATTTGATAATCTTGCTTTTGTTTCTCAAATTGAACCAAAAAGACTTAAGAATGCTTAAAATGATGAGTTCTGGATTTTAGCTATGCAAGATGAACTTAATCAATTTGAAACGAACAAAGTTTGGGAATTAGTGGTTCGACCCTCTAATATTTCCATTATTAGAAGTTTTTAGAAATAAAATTGATGAAAATGAGAATATCATTACAAATAAAGTTAGGTTTGTAGCTTAGGTTATTGTCAGGAGGAGGTATAGACTATGAAGAAACTTTTGCACCGGTTGCTAGATTAGAAACTATTAGAATGTTACTTGTTATTGCTTCTTACAAAAATTTTATATTGTATCAAATAGATGTCAGAAGTTCATTCTTAAATGGGTATATCATGGAGTAAGTTTACGTAGAACAATCTCCCGAATTTGAAAATTTTGATTTTCCACATCATGTCTAAGTTGAAAAAGGTTCTTTATGGCTTAAACAAGCTCTAAGAGCTTGGTATGTTAGACTTATTAATTTTCTTATTCGGAATGATTTTAAAATGGGTAAACTCGACACTACTCTTTTATTAAAATTCAAGAAAATGATATGCTATTAGTGTAAATATATCTTGATGATATCATATTTGGTTCTACTAATCCTTCTTAATAATTTTCTATTGGATGCATAATGGGTTTGAGATGAGTATAATGGGAGAGCATAGTTTCTTTCTCGAACTTCAAATCAAACAACTCAAAGATGGTATCTTAAGAGAAATACACTAACGATTTACTCAAAAGCTTCAAGTTCAATGGAGGTAAGATTGCAAAAACTCCAATGAGCACATCCACTGAACTTGACAAGGATGAAAAAGGTAAATGTGTGGACATTAAATCTTATCGAGGTATGATTGGATCCTTCGTTTACTTGACCGCTAGTAAACCAGATATTATGTTTAGTATATGTCTTTGTGCTAGGTTTCAATCTTGTCCTAAGGAATCTCATTTACATGCAGTTAAAAGAATAGTTAAATATTTGCTTCTAACTATTAATTTAGGATGATAGTATACTAGAAATGTTGAGTTTAAATTGGTAGGATATTTTGATGCGGATTTTACGATGATATATTAGAATGCATTGATATGATTATTTGGACATTTGTATTATTTTAGGTTTTCTTAATTTCATATTATTTGGACATGGCCAAAGCGACTTTTTTGTTTTAGGAACGAATCTCGAAGAGGCACTCGGGATAACAAGGGTAGATGATTAATGAGGAATCAATTAGAACATCCGGACCTACATGGTAGCTTAGAGCATAGTAAAGGGTAGGCCTGAACTTTCTATAGACCAAAGGAAAGTCGTGGAAACCTAGTAGAAGAAGGAAGCAACGAGGGCCTACAAGTAGGTTGGTTACTAAGTATATTTTTATACTTACACCTTTCTCCTTTTCTAGTTGGTTAAGGTGGAGAGATGCTCTGGAGCTCTACTATCACAGAGGGGTGTCGACCTGGAGTGTATGTTAGTTGTATTCGACCTAGGACATCAATTCGTTGTATAATTTTTTTCGTTTGTAAATATCTCGAAATAGTATGTTATGCACGATGTAAGAAATTACAAAATTGTCTCTACGATGATATGTTTTTTTTTTAATATTGTTTTATATGCTTTCTGTTGTGTTAGAAAAGAGGATGGACTATTATGATCTATGTTCTGGGTGATCAATGGATTTTGTCTCCCCATTGAGTTTTTTTACTTGTATATATGTATTATACATTATGTCTTAACCCTAGGTGTTTAACTGTGTGTTTTCCTTGTAAAGCGTGTTTATTTACACCGAGGTGGATGTTAGATTTAGGTGTTTTTGATTGAATACTGTTAAATAAACATCATTTCTTTCCTCATAGATAGAGTATTTTTAGCTATTTAGTTTATCTACTCTCTATTTCTCTTAGTGATTGGTAAGGCTATAAAAACCAAGTTCAATATTCAATAATATCATCAAACTCAAATTGTTTATGTTTCAGGCTTAGTCATTCTTTGGTCAAAATTAGATTGAGAAAAATATTGAAATTGATGAGAACACAGCTGAAGAAGGAGAAATCACAGAGGAAATGACAAAATCGATTGCTGAAATAATTGAACCAGTTGCTGAAAATGAAGAGGAGAAATCACGGAGGAAAGAACTGAACTAGTTGCTGAAACCGTTGAACTAGTTGCTGATAACACTTTTCTAGTAGCTCTTGCACAAAATTTGTCAATAAGGGATGGGAGAAATCGACATCCACCTGTATGGTATGCATATTATAATTTCGGTGAAGGCTTATCTGAAGAGGATGAAGAAAAGGAATTCTTAATGATTTCAGATCCTGTCCAAAATGGAGATTGGCTATGAAGGAAGAAATCAAATCCACTGAAAAAAAAAAAAAAAGAGACAAGAAGATATTTTACGGTAAAAGGCTACACACAAGAGTAATGAATTGATTATACGGAAGTGTATGCACCTGCGGCCAGAATAGACACGGTTAGAATGATAATTGCTTTTGCAGCCTAAAAAGGTTGGAAACTCTATCGGTTAGATGTCAAATCAACTTTTTGACGAGTTAAAAGAAGATATTTTTGTTGAACAACCAAAATGCTAATTCCAAATGGGAAGTGAGGGGATGGTGTACAAACTCCAAAAGGCTCTCTATGGGTTAAAACAAGCACCTAGAACATACGTTTAGTCGAAAAGAATCATACTTAATTAAGAATGGATTCAAAAGCAGTTCCAATGAGCAGACACTCTTCCTCAAGAGGAAGGGAGACAAAATTCTTATTGCAAGCATTTATGTTGATGATCTTTTATTTAATGTAGATGATGAAAAATTATTGGAGTTTAAATGTTCCATGAAGAAAGAGTTTGATATGACTGACTTAAGTCATATTAGATTTTTGGTCCTTAATCTCAAATTAATTAATTAATTTAATTAATTAATTAATTAATGTTTTGATGATAACAAACCTACAGTATTTATTAACAATTAGCAGTCACAGTGTAAAGTTGAAAATAATGATTCAAATGCATTTTTCAATTACTCAAATCAGAGGCAAAACAAAGAAGTTATCGTCCAAACAAAATGTTTGACTTACTTATGTGGGGGCAAAATTGAATCATGGGCCAATTAAAGTAGGACACTTGGAACTTTGGAAGAATAACAAATGGGGAGTTTTTAATTACTTTTAAAAGCCTAGTTTTATAACAACATCATATATTTTTGTTTGAACACAATAAATACAAGAATGTTTTAATGTTCCACCTCTCATTTCTCTTTTTAATAATCCATATTAAATCTTATTTTTGCCTCTACTTCTCTATTTAAACTCATCTATCTCCCCATACTTTAACACAACTTTCATAATTTTTTTTATCTCAATTTTTCTAAAGCTTCCATTGTTGCTCTCTCTCCAAGCTTCCAAGTTTATTTTTCTTCATCTTATTTTTGAAAGAGTTTTTTAATCTATTGTGAGGAAATAGTGGTGAGTGATCAAATTGTAAATCTACTCTTTTAGATGGTTATGGTGTGTTCCTATAAAATTTAGATACTTGTAACGGTTTGATCCTGAGCCGTGAAAAGGATTGAGTTTGCTCTTGAATTCGTAAAAAGAGCGGGGTGTAGCGGTTGGGCTTTGATCCGAGGAAAGAGTCGAGAAAAGTTTTTTAAAATTCTCAAGAGGCTCTTAGGGAGTGGAGTAGGTCAAGTTTGACCGAACCACTACAAACCTACAATGTTATATTTTCTAACTCTT